AAAAATAGAACAACCACAACGGGAGCAAAAGAGCACGGAGTTGGAGGAACAAAAAATTTTATTCTTGTGAACTTCTCAGGGTTCATCGCAGTCGCCGCCGGTTGCCGTGGCATGTTCCTGCCAGATGGTTCACTCTGCCGGAGACTTGAATGATTGAGACTCCGCAGACTCCAGGAACCCTACGATTGCATATACTGGAGAATGGCCGTCAATAACGAGTTTAAAATCACTCGGTGATTCTTCAGGAACGCGGTAAGAAAATAATCCATAGGGAACACCCCAAGGACCGTGGCAGCCTCTATGGAAGAGTTCTTTGGACCTGCTCATCTTATGCCACCAAAGCGATATTCTGCCGCCTCCGACTCGTTTCTTCGCGTCATCCACTGTTAACATTGTACCATCCAACATCAAAAAAGAAACAAATAACAGCATGTATAAATCGGACTCTCAACAGAAAACAGCTCTTGAGCTTTCATTGATTCATGACGTCGTTGTGGGCGGCCATCGTATTTCCTGTCGCCCGTTCCCCACTTCTGCGCTGGCAGGTTGCTTCTGTCTTGTGTGGGTCTCTTCAGGGGTTCTTCACATGGATAAGTCTTTCATCATTGAAGCTGAACGACATCTGGGTATCGCTGCACCCTCACTTCAGAAAGGTCCCCGCGCTTACGACCCCCTCCCTCGAGGTCAAATACGATCCCCTGTTGTGATGATCACAACGATGGCGTGCCCTGCCGGCAAGAGCACAGTAAATCACCCTACGACGCTCCAGGCAACGCTATGTACACACGCAATTCTTTTGTAAGCCGTTGTCTTGCAGAGTGAAAGTAATCGTGGTTGCAATGGTTGCAATAGTCACGCGTCTCTAGCTTGTTTATTTCGATTGGAGTGACACTATTCTCTGCGAATGCGAACAATGATGACAAATGCACGGTGGCATTCCACGGACCACTTGAACTGTCCTTAAAAGCAGAATTCGCGATGAGCCAACGAGATTTTCGTTGGTTCTGGGGTAGTGTGTGTACAATGGATGCTCGTGAATAAAAGAAAAGCAAGGAAAGAGTCACAAACGCTCGAAGTGCACGGAGACATTTTTGGGACCAAATGATGGCGGAAACTGTCTCTAAGGTAAGATTGTTGCTGTGTAGATGTAATATTAACAAGTAGTGTAGCATTACTCTGTATTTTTTCACAGCTCATTTTGTATCCTTTGTATTCTTTATTCCGCACAGAAACCCGAGCTATTCAAGCAAATTGACCCATGAACAAAGGATTGTTATCCTTGGTAAGGATGAACAAAAACGGATGATCTGCTCGGAATTTCACCGGTTCAGCTACAATCATCGACATTGGTACTACACCGAAGTATGTGGCAGCTGCCGCGGTTGTTTCCTCCTCATCTACCTGGAATTCGGTTTCAAAATGAGAGAACAAACGCAGAATATAAGAGTCCCATATGATTAACGTTTATCCACCTCGATGATAGCTCTATGAGCAGCGTCCGAAATTTCGAGCGGAGGTTGCCTTGGATATCCCAGTCAGGTCAGCCTTGCCAGAGAAACATCTGCGTCACTCCCATTGCTATCAGCGCTTCTTTGAGTTTGAAATCCGTGTCGATTTTCATCTTCGGAATTGTCATCTAAATGAAAGACTTAGAAGAAGAACAAGCATACAGAACTCCAAGTAGAGACAGTTTTAGTCGCGGTACTCCATCAGAACGGGTAAAATTGCGGCGTCATTATGAATGCACTCTCCAGCGACTTAGTAGCACCTCCGATGTGTTTTAATAACGATGCTGTACCCTAATGGCAGTGTTGGCTAGGAAGCGGTGCAGCAGTTCCCGTGTCATAAGAAGTACTTTGAACTGCTATCTATCTCATGGGCATGTTCCGCCATTGAGGGAAAGTTTTGCGGAAGACATACGACCACCCCTCCCCTTTCCCCCTCCCTCTCTCCCCAACGACCTGGCACAGCTCCACAGTCGCTGTGGATCCCCAACGTACGCGTCCTGGCTATGCCTGCTCCCAACCAACGCAGCTCTACACTTTATTCGCTTTATCAGTACCTGGAATTCTACTGAGAAACTCATCACAAAAAATAGAATTCCAAAAAACTCTGGCAGTACCGAGATATATGTTCGTTTCAGCTTCAGAAGCAGCTTTTGAATCCTTTCTCCGGTTAACTTTGGTCGAATATTGTTGAGACCAAGTCTGAAAAATTAGTAATGAAGATGATACAGTTTTGGTTTGCTAAGCTTGAGTTTTTGTTTACTATTCCAAGAAGAGACATGAGCAGAAGATTTGACCCTAGTCAACACTCAGGCCTGGGCAAAATACTGCCTTAACTTATATTTATTAGGTTATTCAGCCTCCGTACAGGTCCTCAAGCGATTATAATTGATGAAAGCGTATTGAAACAACAACAATCATAAGTAGTCAGATTCCGTGAGATTGCGTTCAGGTTGCGACAACTAGAACATTACGTGGTTGATCCCGGCGCGAAGGGCGAGCAGCGAAACAGAGGATTGCGCCTGCCATGCCATAAAAAGGTGAAAAAGGGCGAGCCAGGGCGTGAGCTTTTCAAGAGGAAGGGGACTGTAGCAATAGCTACAATTATTCCTTTCTTTAGACTCCCATAACAAGTGCTAACTTGTTTCTTGTAGGCGAAATGATCATCAATCTTCTTCTTCACTAACGAGCTGTGTATAATTGATACGCTGATTGATAAGTATCTTTGAGGTGATAAGATTGAATA